CTCAGATCAGGTGGCCCCGTCCGGTTGGTGTCTGGTGAAAACACCCTGGGCTGTGTCACAACGTGGCGGAGAAGCAGAAAGGGAACGGACTATACACGGAAGAGCTGTGCTTCTCGACGAAGGCCTTCCGGGCGGCCCCTTAGAGTGGAAATTCACAATTTGGGTCTTAAAATCACATCCTTTGTGCGACTTTTCCAAGCAAATGTTGGCCCCATTGATCAGACGTCTATAGCTCTGATGTCGTGGCTCCCAGCAGGCCGCCCTGTCCTGGGTGGCAGGGCAGGGTCTGTTGGACCTGCAGGCACGGTTGCCTGGGTGTGACTCCACCAACAGCCCAGATGGCACAGCCACAAAGACAGCGGCTTTTGTTGCTCATTGAGACTTAACTGCTGTGTGTGGATACCCAAACTAGAAGCAGATTCTACCTTTCCTATTGTGGCTTCCCACTAATGGCTTAATGATAGAGCAAATGTCAAAACGTCCAGAGCTTAAAAATCCCGATTTCACAGTAATTGAGCTCCTTTAAAACTGTCAGGAGCATGTGACACAGGGACAAAGAGGTGCTTGCGAGAGAGGCACAAACCTAGCAGAAGCTGCAGCAGACAAAAATGAGGCAAACGCAGCCATATGCCTGATACGTAGACACCGTGCTGGCTAGGTGACTAGCCCAAGCCCTCATGCATGCAAGGAGGGTGCAACGCGAGAACGTTTTCAACATCAGCTTATACACTATGGTTTTCAGCGTTTGCAGATTTTTTATTCATTTATTTTATTTCTTTGAAAGGCAGAGACAGACAAAAGAAATCTATCTGTTAGTTTACTCCCAAATGTCCCGCGATAGCCAAGGCTGGGCCAAGCCAAAGCCAGGAACCAGAAACTCAATCTGTATCTTCTCCTGGGTGCCGGAGACCCAAGTACTTGAGTCACCACCAGCTGCCTCCCAGGGTGCGCATTAGCAGGAAGCCATAAGGAGCAGAGCCCAAGCTCAAACCCAAGCCCTCTGCTGTGGGATGCGGGTATCCCAAGCAGCATCTTAACTGTTGCACCAAGCATCTGCCTGGCTTTGGGGTCTTGATGCCCTTACCTTGCAGATGCGAAATGTTCATCATGACTTAAACATTTTTAAAAATTTATTTGCGAGGCAGAGAGAGAGAGAGAGAGCGAGCACTCCCATCTACTTGTTCACTCCCCAGATGCCTGCAATGGCTGGAGCTGGGCTGGAGCTGGGCTGGGGCTGGAGGCAGGAGCTGGGAACTCAATCCAGGTCTCCCATAGGGGAACCCAATTACTTGAGCCATCACTGCTGCCTACCAGGCCTGCATTAGCAGGAAAGTGGAGTCAGGAGCTGGAGCCAGATTATCAGACCTGGGCACTTGCATGTCGAATGTGAGTGTCTTAACTACTAGGCTGAACACCCACTCCCTTCCATGGCTTTCAATCAGTGGCCAAAAGCATATTAAACCAAATATTATTTATCTTCTGTGGCTGGCTGTTTTTGATTTATGTTCAGTTCATTCTAAACTGGAAAGAAAATTACATTTAAATATCCTTGATTGCTCAAGGTCAGAGAGTTGGTGGGTAGTATGAGAAGGTGCAGGGTGGGGGTGGGGTGCTCCTTGAAGCCAACCAGATTCTTCCACTATGCCACACTGCTTGTCCAAGAGGTGGGACACAGCTTTATCATGTAGCCTATTATTCGTCAGAAAACTCCATGACAATAAAAGCAGGTTGTTGGCTACAGTGCTGCAATAATATTTTCTCAAGTGATCAGTGTAGCTACTATGGCATGAATAATCACAATTCAACTTCAGTAATGAGTATACCAGTAGCACTGGCTTTATGTCGGGGCTGAACTATACCTTTGTGTTCCCTAGAGTAACAAAAGTTCTGTTAAACAAATTCCTAGTGCAGAGGAGATTGAATGTTTCCAATGCCTTTAGAAGCAACCAGTTACACGCCACATGTAAACACTTGATGTAATAAATATTAAGCCCTCAATCAGTGTGCTGGTGGCAAAACTTTTTGTCTGATAAAATCAGATCTCTGGACAATGCATTATTCGTTGAATTACAGATGCTATAAGTTCTTGAAAGAATGAAAAGATTGCTTCAGATCAAACTATCTCTACTGTTTATAAGCAAATATGCTGTTATAACCTCAATGTAGTCAAGGCTGACTATTTCTAAAGTAATAAGAGTCTAACCCAGCCATCTCATTTCATGAATGCATAAACCAAGGCTCAAAGCTCGAATGATGGAAACATACATCATCTTATGGAAATGCCATCATTGTCTTAGACCTAGGCAAATCTGTTATGAGTACCAACAAGGTTCAAAGTCATTGCACTATTTCCGCCATCTCTACTGCCTGCACCTGTTTGTGTAGGGTTGATCAACACCTGGCACGCGTTTCACGCTCCTCAAGGGTATCCCACACCACAAGGGCTAGAAAGCTCAAAACTACATCCCCCATCATCCTCTCTGACTCCAGATTAGGTTCTGCCACTCACTTGAGCTGTGTCAGGTGGAGGCCATCTTCCTGCTGCCTTCGAGTTGCTGTTGGCAAACTCAGTCCTGGAGACCTGGCTTTTCTTGTGCACCCAAACTCCAGTGTCTGGTCAGCCCCATGGATGCCCAGGGGTCATTGTCGCCAGGGAGAACAGAGCTTAGCTGTGTACCCAATGGTTGTAGTAGCAGCCCCCTGCTCTTCCCTAGCCCGTTTTTCTTCTATACTGCGAGTTAGGTCTTGGCTTGCTTGGGTTCAGGGGGAATGGTTTGGGGAATGCCATACTGCATAGGCGGCTCTGTGCTCTTATTACTGCACAGCAAGAAGCAGATAACGTCCGTGACCTTCCCTTTCAGGTTGCCCAGGGGCTTTGGTTGCTGGCAGTCTGATCCACTGATTGTCAAGGTGTTTGTCCTTTCCAAACAGCGAGTAATCAGTGGGGGAATGCTGTGGCACCCTGATAACGTCCGGGTCCATGGCAACCTTTCCTCTACTGGTTTCAGTATCTCCTGAGAGTTACTAGCTACATCATTTATTTCATTAGGAGTGTCAAAATGGTGGTTTTATAATCCTATCCTTCCTCCTGGGCTTCTTAGCTGGCATTCTTTAAAGAATTCCCCCTCCCTCTAGGATTGTTTCGCAATCCGAACCCAGGATTACACTGCTGTTCTTTTTTACAAAAGCAGCAAACCTTTCTCCCAGAGAAAGTGCTCATTTGCATACCAATGAGACTAGTCATTTGCATACTCATAGGATGTCTCACCAATCCCCAAACTCATCCTGCTCTCACAAAAAACCTCCTTGGTGCTTTTGCACATTATTTTCCTCAGTCCTTTATTGAAGCTACAGTCACTTCTATTTTCTCTCCTCAATTTTCTGTTATGCAAACTCCAATCGGTCTGTCAAGATCCAGTTCAAATGTCACCTCCTCTGAGAGGCTTAGCTTTGTTCTCTTAAGCAGAATGGGTCACTTTTTTCATTATAAAACTCACTAATTAATCTGAGAGACACACACAGAGAGAGAGAGAGACAGAGAGAGAATCTTCCTGTTCACTGTCTAAAGCCAGAAAATTCAATCCAGTGTTTTCATGTGGATGGCAGGAACTCACTTGCTAGAGCTGGAGTCAGGAGCACAGGTACCCCCAGTGTGGGATGTGAGTGACTTAACTGCTAGGCTGAATGGCCACGCCTGCCATTTTTTTTTGGTAGTGATCGTCCATACTTCCTGTATACCAGTTTACTTGCTTAAGTTACTTTAAAAACTCTGAGCTCCTCAGCACTGGGCAATATTCCAAGATAGTTCTGCTAAGTAAGTTGAGTGAAGTAATATTGAAAATTGATATTTTCTTTTTTATATAAAGATGTATTTATTTACTTGAAAGTAAGAGTTACACACAGGAAGAAGGAGACACACACACACAGACAGAGAGAGAGAGAGAGAGATAGAGAGAGGTCTTCCATTCGCTGGTTCACTCCCCAGCTGACCACAATGGCCGGAGCTGCGCTGATCCGAAGCCAGGAGCCAGGAGCTTCTTCCTGGTCTCCCATGTGGATGCAGGGGCCCAAGGACTTGGGCCATCTTCTACTGCTTTCCCAGACCATAGCAGAGAGCTGGATCGGAAGTGGAGCAGCTGGGACTCAAACTGGCACCCATATGGGATGCCGGCGCTTCAGGTGGTGGCTTTACCTGCTATGCCACAGCACTGGCCCCGAAAATTTTGTTATCTTTCTCCTCTTGGTATTCCAGTCCTTATTCCTTTCTTTAATAGGCTGTCACGGGGCTGGCGCCGTGGCGCAATAGGTTAACCCTCCACCTGCAGTGCCGGCATCCCATATGGGCACCGGTTCTAGTCCTGGCTGCTCCTCTTCCAAACCAGCTCTCTGCTGTGTCCTTGGAAAGCAGTAGAAGATGGCCCAAGTCCTTGGGCCCCTAT